ATGCAGAAATAGAAGTACAATGATGTACACCTGAAATTTTTACAATGTTATAAACCAATGTTACTGCAATAAACAAAAAATTAAAAAAAAAAAAAGGAATAAGTCAAAAATAATAATCAAAGAAACAACAAAAACTTAAAATGGTATACTAGAAAAATATCTAATAGAAGGGAAGTAATGGAGGATAAAGGAATGAAGACATATAGAAAACAAACAGCAAATAGAAGATATAGATTCTAACTTATCAGTAATTACATTAAATGTAAATGAATTAGGCGCTACAATCAAAAGGCAGAGATTTGCCTAGTGGACAAAAACATGATTCAACTAGACGTTGCCTATAAGAGACTCAATTTATATTCAGAGACACAAATAGGTTGAAAGTCTAAAACTGGAAATTTTTAGGTGCATATATGTTTACACATATTCTGTTGTTGTTGGGTGGAGTTTTCTACAGATGTCTGTCAAGTCAAGTTGGTTTATACTGTTTTTCAAGTCTTCTCTTTCCTCATTGATCTTCCAGTAGTTGTTCTCTCCACTATTGAAAGTGGAGTATCGTTGCTGAATTGTCTATTTCTCCTTTCAATTCTATTAGTTTTTGCTTAATGTATTCCTGGGGTTATATCTTCCTGATGGATTGACACTTTTATCATTATAAAATGTCCTTCTTTGCCTCTAGTAATCATTTTACTGCAAAGCTATAATAATAAGCAAGACTGTGAGTATACACATAAGAATAAACATATAGATCAATGGAAAAGAATCGAGAGTTCAGAAATAAACCCATACATCTCTCGCCAACTGATTTTTGACAAGGGTACCAAGTCCATTCAATGGGAAAAGAATCGTCTCTTCAACAGTTGGTGCTGGAATAACTGGATGAAGTTAGATCCCTACCTCATACCACATAAGAAAATTAATTCAAAATGGGTCAATGACCTAAAGACAAGAGCTAAAACCATAACACTCTTAGAAGAAAATATAGGAGTAAACATTAGTGACCTTGGATTAGGCAATGATATTTTAGACATGTCACTAAAGGCAGAAGTGACAAAAGAAAAGATAAATAAATTGGACTTCCTCAAAGTTAAAACCTTTTGTGCTTTAAAGGACACAACAAGAAAGTGAAAAGACACCCCACAGAATATAAGAAAATATTTGCACATCATATAACCGATAAGGAACTTATAGCCAGAATAGACGAAGAACTCTTACAATTAACAATTAAAAGACAAATAACCTAATTTTAAAATGAACAAGGTATTTAAACAGAAATTCATAAAAAGAAGACACACAAATGTCTAACAAGCTCATGACATATTGAATTATCAACGTAATTAGTCATTAGCAAAATGCAAAACAAAACCGCAATGAGATAACACTTCATACCCACTAGGATGAAATAATCAAAAAGGATAATAACAAGTGCTGGTGAGGATGCAGAGAAATTGGTACCCTCCTGCATTGCTGGCGGACTGGCATTTCCTCAAAATGTTAAATGTAGAGTTTTTACTAGTCACAGCAATTCTGCTCCAAAAAGTATACCTAAGAGAATTGAAAACTTATGTTCACACAAAAACTTGTCCATGAATGCTCATAGCAGCATTATTCGTAATAAACAAGTGGAAACAATGCAAATGTTCCTCAACTAATGTATGGAGTTTAAAAAATAGTATATTCATACAATGGAATATTAATTGACAATAAAAATGAATGAAGTACTGATACATGCTACAACATGGATGAACCTTAAAACATTACGCTAAATGAAAGAAGCAAGTCACAAAAGGTCCCAATGTTTGAAATGTCCAAAATAGTCAAATCCACAGAAACAGAAAGCAGATCAGTGGTTGCCATGGACTGGAAGAGGCAGAAATGGCAAATGACTACTAATGTATATGAGGTTTCTTTTTAGGGTGATGAAAATGTTCTGGAATTAGATGGTGGTGATAGTTGTGCAACTCTGTAAGTATACTAAAAACCAGTTAATTACACATTTTAAAAGGGTGAATTTTATGGAATGTGAATTATATCTCACTAAAGCTAGTATTTTAGCATAATATGGAGAAAATCATATCATCTCAATAGATGTAGAAAACACCTTTGAAAAAACTCAAAATTCATTCATGATTAAAAAAAAAAAACCTCTCATCAAACCCGAGATAGAAAGGACTTTCTTAATCTGAAACAGGGTATCCATGGAAGCCCTTCAGCAAACATCATATTTAAAGGTGAAATGTTGGAAACTTTCTCTAAGGCAAAGAAGAAAGAGAAGGCATAATAAGTTAAAAGGAGAAAATAAACTGTCGTTATTTGTAGACGAAATGATACCTCCTTAGAAAATCCAAATGAATATACAGAAAACCATAAAAATCAATGTGATTTGTTTATATACAAACAAACAGAAAAGAAATCTTAAAGTTATCATTTGTGATAATATAAAAAATACCAGATACCCATGAATAAATCTAAGGGTTGATGTGCAAGATCTCAAGTTTTGGTTAAAACTACAAAACATTATTGAGAGAAATTAAAGAATAACTCATTTAAAATACCTAATTAAAGATTACCATAGCATATAATTTTCATGGGTTGGAAGACTCAACATTGTAAAGCAATTCTCCCCAATTTGATCTATGGATTTAAGGCAATCTCAATCAAAAAAAGCAAAAACAAACACAGCATTTGTGGAAATTGCAATGGAAAATTTACTTAAAATGTAAAAGGCCAAAAATAGCCAAACAATCTTTAAGAAAGCTGGAGGACTTACAGTATTCAATAAAAAGAATTATTATAAAATTATAGTAATCCAGACAGTGTGGTATTAGCTTAATTTTATACCAAAGAGACAGTCCAGAAATAAGCATACATGTATCACTTGATTGATAACAAAGGTGACATTACAGTGCAGAGGGGAAGGGTACTTCTCTAAATAAATAAAGGGCAGTGGGTCAGCTGAATATATACACACAAAAAACTTACTCCCTAGCTCTCATCATACATGAAAAATAATTTCAGAATTATGGTAGATGTAAATGTGAATGCTAAAACAATAAAGCCCCAAGAAGAAAACACAGTAGAAAAACGTCTATGTTTTGGGGTAGGCAAAGATGTCTTAAACAAGACATCAAAAACGAATCACAAAAGAAACTGATAATATGGACCCATTAAATTAAGACCTTCTGTTCCAAACAGACACTAATAAAAGGGCAGAAAGGCAAGCCACAGAGTGGGAGATCTTCACGATACATATATCAAACAAATGACTTATATCCAGAATGCATAAAGAACTACAAATTGAGGACAACAAGACAGACTACCCAATCAAAAAAAAAGGGCAAACTACTTGGACAGATACTTCACAAAAAGGGATGTTCAGATAAAAAAAAAAATTTGAAAATTCAAATTCATCAGAAAAATGCAACTTAAAAACACAAAGAGATACCATAATACTATCACTAGAATTGCTAACATGAAAAAGACTGACAATACCAAGTGTTGGGGAGGGTTTGGAGCAACTATAACTTTCACACAGTAGTATAAACTGGTACAACCACTTTAAAAAATTTTTTTGCTGAATAAATACATAACCATGTTCAGTCAAAGACATGTACAAGATAGTCATAGCATCACTATTCATAATAGCTGGAAACAACACAAATATCCGTCAACAATAGAATAAAAAATATATCGTGGAATAATCATATATTAGAATACTATACAACAAAGAGAATGAATGAATCATGACAAGATGAAAACATAACGAATCTCTCAAACATAATGTTGAGCAAATGAAGCTAGATACAAAATGAGTGCGTTCCATACAATTCTATTGATACGAAGTTCAGAAGTAGGCAAAACTCTCTAAGGTGATAGAAGTCAGGAGAGAGGTTCTTTTGGGAGCATGAAATTATGTCTGGATTACTATATGACCAGGAGGGGGCTTGAGAGCATTTCTGGGATGCTATTAATATTCTATTTCTTCATTGGGGTGCTAGTTACATGGGTCTGGTCACTGTTAAAATTTCTTGAACTGTACTCATTATTCATATACATCCTTGCATGAATGGTATACTTCAGTAAACACTTCAAAACATGAAATGAAACACAGACACCTACATTGCTTTCCTTTTTCCTGCTGTGGGGAGAAGCAAATCCTGCTGACGTTGCTGTTTTCAGTTTGGTTTCTAAACTGGGAGCATTTGAGGAAATCGGGCCAAGAGGCGTTCACCATCCCTAGGACCAATTCACAGCCCTCTTTTGCAGCCTCACAGAAGGACCTACAGGGCAGGAGTCCATGACTAGAAGGAAAGAGAAAGGTGAAAATTAATGTTTTTACAGACTACTTCTTGAAATAACAATGAAATCAAAGAAAAGTTGGCCACCAGTGCTGCAATGTTATCTTAATTGATATTTACTATAGTCAACAACTTAAATTTCTACATTCAGTCCTATAACAAGGATTTCAGGCACCCTATTATCATGATTCTAGAGGGAATAAGCTAGTTCCATACTATATCATCTAAGTATTTCTTGTAGAAGCATTTATCCCAAATGATTTTTTTAGATTTCCTGTGCCAAAGTAAACCTGTCAACCAAAAAGTAGCTCTACTTCATATCAAAAGAAGTAAATTAACATGGAAATGAAAGCCCCCACATTAGAAAGGCAGAAGTAGGTCACAAAACAGGTTAACGTCATTTCTTTATCTTCCCTTTGAGAAATTCAAAGCATCTCTAAGACGCAGACAGAGAGAAAGCCGTTCCTTAGCCTCCACTGCCATTGGAAAAGAAACATACAGATAAGTGGCAACTCATTTATCTACAGTTGTAAACAATTTATTTATCTACAGTTTATAAACAATTATCTTCTCAAATTTCTATTTCATCTTCTGCAAAATAGAAAAGTAAAACAACTGTCCATTCATAGTAAAGTAATGACGCCCCTAGAGCTTGTCTTTATTCATCTGACGTGTAATCAAATACTCCTGGATCCACAGCTCTGTGTCTGGGGACCAAGATGCTACAATGCCAAGACCATGAACTTGTTCCCTTGCAGACCCAGGCGCTTTTTCTATTTTGGAGCTATAGACTGTATCTGTCACCCTGGCTGGTGATTTGGCAAAGGCATTTCAAATGGTTTTTAAGGAAACTGGGAAAGAAAATATACATGTCAGTCAAAGCAAAGCACATGCTTCACAAATGTAGGGTTACTATGATATCACAGAAGCATATGATATTTGGATGTGTAAGAAACCTGAAACAACATCTCATTCAAATCCTTCATTTGAGACAGGCCAAGGGAGATTCTAGGATGGACTCGAGGTCACACAGCTTTCTAATAGCAGAAGTGGCAATCCAGATGTTTTAACTTTGAGTCCATGCTCTGCCATATTGTCTTTTCTCTTATAAGGACCTAATAAGTGGACTTTAGAAACTCCTTGATCAAATAAACACATTTAGAATTCCCCCTCATACTTTTACAGATAACAGAAACACAATGGGATGCACCAGCCACTGAGTTAAAATAGAACCGATAGAGTCTGTAAAAGAATCTTGGGAGAGAGATACTGTTATATATAAAAATATGGAAAAGGAGTACTCAACAACCACATCCAGATACAAATGCTTTTGACTTTCCTCTCAGAAACTGCCGTAAAACTGAATATCTTTTAGAATCCTAATATTCACATAATCACCTACCTATCTTAATATATGACTAAGTTTGTTAGTGAAGATGTGGAAAGAGAGGTTTTGCATTTGAAAAATTAGCTTTAGGATATAAAATATGAATTGGTCCCCGCAAGTATCTCGGTGTACAGAAGACACCTGACTGCCATTCAGGAAATATATTAGATATTTACAGGACTAAGAAAGTATCCCTTAAATAACATTTTAAAAAGATTTCCTGGGCCCGGCCCTGTGGCATAGCGGTTAAGTGCGCACGCTGTGCTGCTGGAGGCCCGGGTTCGGATCCTGGGGTGCGCACCGATGCACTGCTGGTCAGGCCATGCTGTGGCAGGTGTCCCATATAAAGCGGAGGAAGATGGGCACAGATGTTAGCCCGGGGCCAGTCTTCCTCAGCAAAAAGAGGAAGATTGGCATGGATGTTAGCTCAGGGCTGATCTTCCTCACCAAAAAAAAACAAAAGATTTCCTTTTCTAAATCTTATTCCAGAGAAGTTAGAGACTATATTTTCTCAAATATAACTGGGGAACACAGTTGAAGAATGTGGAAAACATAGAATTCCTACGCACTTGCTTACACTTTGTTAGGCTCTAAGTGCTTTCTAAGTGCTTCATGAGCATTAACATTTATTTCTCATCACAGCCCTAAGTGATAGGTACTATTACTATCACCCTTAATACATAAATAAGGAAACTGAAGAAGGCAAAGTAAGAGACTTGTCCAAGGTCACTGAGGTAGTGAGTGTCAGAGCCAGGATTTGAACCCAGGCAGGTTGATCCAAGGACTGATTCTATTAACTACTCTATTACATGCGAGTCCTTACTTCAGGAATGTATGCTTCAAAAGCACAATTGAAGGTTAGCTCCAAACTTAATAAGCACTTTCCCAGTCAACCAACCATATACACAGTGGTTAGGTTCTTCTTTTATTCTAGAAACGCCTAGTTAACCTGCAACGAATCAGAATTTGCCAAAGGAGCTAAAGAACGCTAGGGAAGGGTAAATGCATTTCTTTCTTTCCCAGGTGTGAGATGGCCCACAGTCAATATATCAGATATTTACAAGCTTATTAAGCTAGGCTTGGCTTCGGCATTCTTCCTTTGCCTTAGTTCCCGACCTGGGTCTCCCTGTCCTGATATCATCCTGACACCCCTACTCCGGCACCCCACCTACATAAATGGCCACCTCCACCAGAGCATTACTTGCTCGTGAGTATTTTCTTCCCTTCCTACAATCAAAACTACATTCTCCAAGTGAGCTGATCACAATTAGGCTTTCAAAGAAGAAAAGAAATGAAAATAAAACAGAGTAATACATAATAATACTTGGACACTTAACCCTCCCAGAGATTTTTTGCCTTGTTAAAAGAAGATTGCTTGCTGGAGCAAAGAAATCTCTAATGGATGGGATTCCAGGCGCCATTTACAGGGAAAAAAATTCATCCAACATTGTGGGGTGGGGAGGATCACTGCAAAACTGACTAACACTTGGGGCCCGACTCGCCCAAGTGGTTCCTGGACCTGTCCTCACTTCTGAACCCACATATTTTTGGATTACCCCACATCTTCTCTCAGAATCTTCTCTGGTAAGAGCAATGAAAGTTCACTTAAGTGCCCAGCAGACTGTTTTCAAGTTCTAAAGGCAATCTTTAACTCAGAAGCTGACATTGCCATTGACTCTTACCGTGGTCATTTTCTGCAGGAAAGTGTTAAATTTATCACCCTAAAACTTTCACGTGCCCACTCCTCACTGTCTGATCTTGGGCCAACAGTTCACTCACACCAAGACTCAGTTTCCTCATTTGAAAAGTGAGGGGTCTGGAAAAGCTGATTTTTCATGGCCCTTGTACCACTAACATTCTGTAAATGAAAATTCATTCTTTAACACAATGCTTCTCAGAGGAGCAGTGATAATCCCACCAGCTTTGCAACATTTCAAAAAGTAACAGACATTTTTTCTCGAGATTTGTTCTGGGAATATATAGAGACATTAAAATACCATTAGGTCCTCCATTCTAAAAATAGGGCCTAAGAAAAATGTCTAGAGTGTTTCCAAATAGCTCTCTTAAGAGGTGTAACCAACCAAGACCCATAAGCTTTAAATTACTGGACAAGGACACGTGAAATAGTGATAGAGTATTAGTAACTAGCAGCCCTTCCAAACAGCGAGTAAAATGAGGAGCCATTTGTTCTTGCTTCCCATGAAATTCAACTGCCTATGAGGGGTTGAAGTATTTTGCTTTTCATCACATGGAACAGCATGGTGAGACAGACCACACTCTTTTGGAATGCAATATATCCAAGCAACAAGCCGGTTGACATCTGAAAACAGTGCTCAGCACAGGGGAGGAGTCAGATTTGGCTATCAGAATACTATTTTAGAAATGGTGATTATTTTAAATTGGTGTGAAGTGCATTTGGTGTTGTACAAAACTCCCTAACCCATTTCAACTAAAGTTTAAGCAGAAAACTCTTACATCACCTCTGTAATTATTTCTTGAGACAAATACATACCAACAAATATATAAATAATTCTACTATATAGTGACAGTGAGATTTTTATGGTGTTTTCACCAGGAAGGATGTCCTAAAATGATTTATCTACAAAAAAATTACAGATTTTACCTATACAATTTTTGACAAAAATTTTTTCATTTACAAAAAAATTATAGATTTTTTCTTTAATGTACACTTTGATCAACATCTCCCCATCCTCCCCCCAAACTTACAGATTTTATCTGCATTTATCTGATAAATACATAAAGTTAAAATTATTGAATAAGCTCCAGCCACAAGGAGGCTTATCTAGATAATGGAATTTTAAATTTTACAAATCACTTTTTTCTAATTTTTTACTTTGAACTACTTTTAGACTTACAGAAAAGTTATAAAAACAGTACAGAAAGTTTCCATATATCCTTCATCCAGGATCCCCCAAGGCAAGTAGCTTACATAACTACAGTATAATTATGAGAATCAGGAAATTAATATTGGCATAATATCTTTAAAGTAAGGATTCTACTCAAATATTACCAAGATCTCCATTCAGAATCCCACATTACATTTAGTTGTCACTTTTTATTTTTGGCAAATAAACTAACCTTTAATTATATCAGGAGAGCTCAGAGTTTAAATTCTTCTTCCATAAGAAAAAGAAAAAGTGTTTATGGCAGGCAGATGCTAAGATGGTCCCCAATGATCCCCACCTCCTGATATTCATGCCCTGTGTAAGCCCCTCTCCTTGAATGTGGGCTGGCCTAGTGACTTGCTTCCAACAGATAGAAAGTAATAGGATGTCACTGCCATCATTAGGGGTCATAAGGTTGTGACTTCTGTCTTACTAGCAGACTCTCTCCTTTACTGGCTTTGACAAAGCAAGTTGCCATATAGGAGAGGCCCACATAGCAAGGACTTGAGGGTGGCCTCTGGCCCACAGCTAGCTAGGAACTGAGGCCTTGAGTCCAATAGCCCTTGAGGAACTGAAATTCTTCCAATAATCACATGAGCTTGGAAGTGGATCCTCTCCCAGTCAAACCCTTCAGATAAGACTCCAGCCCTGGCCAACACCTTGAGTGTACTCATATAACAGATCCTGAAGTAGAGAACCCAGGTAAATCA